CATCGGGGAAGGGGCGTACCTGGCGCACCCCCCGGACCTCTGAAAAAGCCCCCCGGCCCACGGCCGCCGCCGGTTTTTAAGGCGGGAGACGTGAGTCCAGGAGGACCCCCAAATTACGCAATGGGTCTGTCTGGGGCAGTGCACCCCCATCCAGCACCAAAGCTGACAAAGTCCCGGAAACAGAGGAGCCCCCAACCCACAGCCACTCCGTCTTACCAGGGTTCAGCCGAAGCCTGTTGTTCCCCATCCAGACCCTCACAGCCTCCAGGCACCGAGAAAGACGGCCACGGCATCACTTACTTCACCCAGGATGGAGATGTATAGCTGTGTATCATCAGCATAGTGATGATACCTCATCCCATGGTGGTGGATGATCTCACCCAGCGGCTTCATGTAGATGTTGAAAAGGAGCGGGTAGAGAACCAAACCCTGCGGCACCCCACAAAGGAGGGGCCGAGGATGGGACCTCTCACCCCCCATCACCACCGATTGGGATCGGCCCCGAGAAAGGAGGCGAACCAGCACAAGGCCGTGCCGCCCACCCCCAATTCCCTGAGCCGTCCCAACAGGATACTGTGGTCGATGGTATCGAAAGCCGCTGAGAGATCAAGGAGAGCGAGGATGGTCGCCCTTCCACCATCCCACTCCCACTTGCCACCCCACCCACCTCCCTCACCAGAGGTGGGCTAGATGTCCAGCCAAGGCTGCTCCTCCTGGCTCACCACACACACACATCTATTGTCAGCCCTGTCAGGTAGGCCAGGCTGAGAAACAGATGCCGTGCCAGGCCTAAAGCTACTTTTATTGGAACGGCTGTAGCAACAGAGTCTTGCCGATCTAAATGTGCTTCCCCCTCCTCCCTCTTTCATCGTCATGTGAAGGGGGGGGGCTGTCTGAGGTATTTCCCTAAACCTCTTTCTTGGTCTGGGTTGAAGACACCTTTATCTAATCACTGTTTTGTTAACGGATCTTCCCTCTGCCCATCAAGGCCATCCTCTCTACTCTTATCACCTCTACCGTCCTACCAAGCCAACATACCAGCCTAGTGCTCCTTCACTTCAAGCCCCATTTCCCCATTGTCTGATTCCAGGGGTTACCCATCAAGACCCCCATCTCTCACCAAGGCAATGAAGTCCAGGAGCCCCAGTCAAACTAGTAGGAAACAGTGCCCTGGGCAAATCTGGGCCTCTTCCAGTCACCAGCACTCTTGGTGGGTCGTGGCAGCCTCTGCAGAGCCCCCCTCCCCAAACAACGGTAGTTTATCTTCTGTGGCCCTGGCTGCCTGCCAATTCCAAACTGGCACCATCTCCCTGAGCTGTCACTGCTAAGGAGGCCTGCTCTAGGCTGGTGTGCGCGCACACTCTCCCCTCTGGATCTGCGCACTGTCCCCCAGGGCCATTTCACTTTGGGCAGTGGGAGACTCATTATTTCAAGCTGGCTACCCTCAACAAGTCTCTTGGGGACCTGGATTGGCCCGAACAGCAGCTGGCCCGTGGTGGCTGTGGGGACGCTGTGGGGTGAAGTGGGGGAAAGTGTTGGCCCATGCCTGACAGCACCGGGGTCTCCTTTCTCCCTTCAACCGCCCCCCCCCCCAGTCGGGCAGCTGGTTCCCAGCCTGAGAGGTGGGGGGAGCATTTCTTCTGATGGCTAAAAGGGCAGGTTGTCCTGTTAGGTACAGCGGAGGTGTGATTACATTCCACACCAAAAATACACACCAGTGTTAGAGAGATTTAAAGAATGCA